CTGAATTATACATTTCAGCATGACAGTGAGGAATATGGGGAGATACCCTGATACGATTTCCTGATTACCTGTAACATTGCCTGTCTCTTTCTAAATTATCCTACTGGAGGCAGGAAATATCAGGTCTATTAGAGAAACGACTCTCCGGCTATTAGTTTTTAGAGCTTTAAATAGTCTTATCTCAATGGACGTGTTTGCCCTGTGGCTCATCTATCACCCCTAAAATGTTTTATCAGCACCTGAAAAATCTCAATAAGAAGAATAGCCTCAAACGTTACCCATTCAAGGGGCTTTCAGATACAGAATGTATTTTTTAAAAAAAGGTCTTTTAAGATCTGATATTATTTGCTGGCTTTTCAACCCCATTTCATAGCTCCCACAGCACCACTTCTATAAATACTCCTCACCAACAAAGAAAGGAAATCACAATAGATTAAAAGAAAACCAGGTTAACGGGCAGCAAATCAATGTCCATTCAGCCTCAGACATTTGTGAAAATAAAGGATTATGAAGAATTATTGCTAGGTACTAGCTGTGTGAAGACCTTTTGTGGCATCTTCATCTTCTTTAACAGATAGTTATTGGAGGTCTAAGAAAAGCTCTCGGTGTCAGAAGCCAGTTGTATTAGAAATAAGCAGAAGTTACAATGCTGTAAGATGTTACAGTTTTTGTAAATTTTGTACTATTTGACATATTCAGATTATGAGTGTCTTGTTTTTTCTTCAAAAAATGCTGTTTCTAGTTTGTGTGTGTGTTATGTTGAGGTCTAATGGAGAGGAGATGGAGACAAGGCATGGGGCATGGTGGGTTTTTCTTTCTTTGTCTACTCATTACTGCAGCCCCTGTCTGACCGTCTTCACAGGACCTCAGAGTCAGAGCTTTCAGAGCCGGTGAACCTGTGCCCAATTTGGACTCAGTCACTATAAGGCATTATTTTTAGTGAATCGAAAGCCAGAAAAGGAGAATTAAGCTCAACAAGGTGAGTTTTTTATGTCCAGGGTCTTTCAGAGACAGCCTCACCACCAGAAAATAACTGTGTTAGTAACAAAAATGGTGATGCAACAGAGTCAGTTGTAGTAAACATCTGAAAACCTTCCTTAGGGCTTCTTACTTGTAAATTTTGCCATATCTTTGCCACCTGGTGTTCTTCACCATTAAAATCAGTGGGCGAGCCTCCTCTGACCTTTGAATGAGCCAGTTGTGTTCTGCTGCAGAAGGAAATGAGTTATGAGTTATGAAGCAGGGAATGAAAAGATTGTCTCAGAGAAGAAGAAGAAACTCTTTTTGAAAAGCACACTAATAATACCATAAACAGCTGCTTTCTGGCTCCAGTCTAACCTTTCCCAGGGAGGGCCTTTCATCTCTGATGTGTTTCACAGTTTTTCTTTGGACAGGAAACTGCCATTTAAAAAAAAATTGTCTTTGGTGAAACCGTACAGGTTTTATTTGCAGGGAGCGAGGGGTCACAAACTTACATTGGTGTTACGAACTCTGTAAAGGATGTGTTGCGCTTGAAAGCTGGGTGGTCATGATGGACACTTAGAGAGGCTTCGTTTTCAGGTGTGATGAAACCCACGTTCAGTGACTTACAGCGTTGTTAGCGCTAAGTGCTTTGGGACTTAAAAACAGCTCAGCGGACAGCCATGGCTATTGCAGTCAGCGACAAAGAAGGATCAAGACTGGGGAAAGAGGACACAGGCGGTGTTACAAGGTGACATTCCCACTGATCCATGGACCCACTAAGCCCCCGAACTGCAAAGAAGTGGAAAGTGAGCTGTGGTGGTTGTGAATTTTAAGTGTTAGATCTACCTCTGGTTAAACCAGATTATAAATTACGTGGCAAACCTGATTTTGCTTTTCAATTCTCTCTGAAAAGTATGTTAACATGTAAGAAGTTCTGTCTCTTGGGTCCCTGCTGCTGTTTTAACCTAACTTCTTTCTGCTAATTCAGGAGCAAGCATGGCCACCACTAAGATGTGCGTGGTGAGAGGCAGCAAAACAGGAGCAGGTTGTTCTCAGATCTTCATACGCCGGGATCACTGCCATGGTTTGCGGTTAAATCTAGTGGGTGCTCTGTGCGTATCATCTTAGCTTCTCTTTTGCTGCTATTGAAATATTGGATGTGTACTGCATTTCCCAGCCAGCAAAGGTCCCGCATATGGAGAGGTCTTTCCTGTAAGTGGTGGTTTTTTTTGTCATGCACAAATGATTAACAGCTAAATCAATTGTGTCAGAGGTTGAGCAAGCTGTATCACATAGGCACATCTTGAGTTTAGTCTGGGGCAAAGTCATCTGAAACAAAAAGATAAAGCAAAAAAGGCAAACAAAAAGCTTTGCACAGCCTAAGCCATCTTTCCTAACAGTTTGTCCTCCGTGTCTAGAGATGAAAGGACAGTTAATCACTGACTGCCTGTTCAGTAACATTGCGTTAAAAAACTGGCTGCCTGAAACACAATCTTTTTATTCGGAGCAGATTCCTACAAGGAATCAGTTAATGTGCTTCTCTGTGTTAAATTGTTATCATCAAGCTGCCAAACTAGAAAGATGCAGCAGCCAGTAGCTTATTTTGCGGAGACGTGGCTCCGCAGTCAGAATAATGTCATTTGTAAGGTAACTGTAACACATTAAGAGGTGTAGCACTTGGCCAGGTAATGATGCTGAGGTTGTCAGGTTTGTTTTATATTAGTGAATATGTTTAATTTTATATATAGCATCCATCATTCCCATAATGAGCAAATTAAAATGTATTTATTCTTTGTATCATCGGAGCACTCGGAGACTCAGCCCAGGGTGAGAGTCAGTGCAAGACTGCATCTATTCAAAGAACCTCTGCTTGTCCAGCAAGAGGAAGGGTGGGAAAATATGATGATAGTCATCATTTTGTACAGGGAATCACAGATTCAGAGAACTTTTCTCCCTCTAAGACACTCATTGTAGGTTAAGACTAATTAGGAAAATGAAGGGAAAGACTGTTGTGTCTCAGGAATCAAAAAGCCATACCTGAAGTGAGAAGTGGCAGGACTGCAAAGGCTGCCTCAACAGGCAACCAAAGAAAAATTCTGCAAGGTTGCGAGGATCCTGATCTGCCTTTGAAAGCCCAACTGAACTGACGGGAATCAGCCCTTGGTAAGTTCTCTGCCCCTGTTAGGGCCATTTAAGAGAGAGAATGACTCAACGTAGTAGCTAGAAAACACCAAGACGTTTCATTTGATACCCTGACCTTGCTTCCATGCGCTCAAGACTCTGGGGACATGGAGCAGAGGATCTCTATGGAAGGGCTTGGCCAGGGCTGGTGCTTGTCTTCCCCCTGCAGCACGAGCCCGAGCCCCGGTGAGAGGCAGCAAAAGGCACTCTCGGCAAGCAAAGCTTTCCCTGAGCCATGAGAATAACTGCTTACGCCTCCTGCCCGGCCTTCCTCTGGAAGGCAGACAGGAAAAGCAGAAATAAATAAATGATTTTGCAGTCTACTCTATTCCTAGAAAGCTGACTTTAGTTTACTTATCACTTCACTCTTGCCAAGACTGGAGCATGTTTCATTTGTTGAAATATTCATTTTTCCCCCTCCCTTGAAAGGAGCGTTACAAATCAAAGTGTAAATTGCTCCTGGACAGATCTTTGCTTCCTTCCCACTTCCCTCCAGAAAGCCATGTACTAACAATTGCAACATTTACCTTGTGAATCTGCCAGGTGGTGGGTCATCTGCTGCGTACAGCGTGGAAAAACAACCCAGTAATTTATCTTTTTCTGCTTGAACCATTTTCAACCCCCCCGGCAGACGGAATGGGAGCGGTGGTGATTTCAAATCGCCGATGGTACCTTGGAGCGATGAGCACAGCACGCACCGCGTTTGCTCCGTACCCTGTCACGCTGTTGCTGCTTTATGCCGTACTCGGCATCCTAACCGTTCGTTGCTTTGGGTAAGTGGGTGTTTCTGAAGCCATGTCCATGGGGTGATATAGTAAAGAACGAAAATCAGTACGGACTCTCTGCTTTCACTTCGCATGGCACATAATTGCTGTCTTGAGCCATTTCTGTATTTCTAATGAATAGCGAAAGACATTGTTTTGAAGTTAACGTAGTGCAATGTGTCTGCTTTTAGAAAAGTAATCCTGTTTGATAAATCTGAGATGACAAATTGCCACGGTCGTGTTGTAATGTGGAATTCTGTTTGCGACAAGCAGCCTCCTCCCGTGCTAGCTGCCCGACAGTGTGCTGGGAAGACGGGGTTTTGTTTTCTTTGAGTACGTAAATGGCAAGAATCTGGCTGGTAGTTGTTTCTTTCTCTGCTAGCTTAATAGATTTTGCTCTTTCAGAGGACTACAGTCAATCAGTGACTGTAATCTTTCCAATCTAACTCTATTTTTCCGCTGTTCTCTGAACTTTGAGCTCTGATTTCATGCCTCAGTGAGCTGATGAGTTTTTGTAATTCCCTTATTCCATGTGATTTTTAATATGCAGTAATGGGAGCCCCTTGCCAGGCGCTAAATCATCCTTAAAGCTTCAGCTGTTGCTATTCCTTGTCTGGGTGGAGGAATTGGGAACACTACCGTGGTAGTTAGCTTGTCAAAGTGGGTATGAAAAGAAACTAATTGTCACTGTTTCACTAAAGCTTCCCACTTAGATTAGGTGCTACAAGGAAGCATTTGACTGGGATGAGGATTTAATCAGAAATACCGAATCTGCCAAAAGAGTAGTCAATATTTTAGCTGTGGCATCGTGGAAACCTCGGAGACAGTTGTCATGTGAGGGGGCGAGAGAGGGGCTGGGGTGAAGAGTAAAGGCTCACACTTGGGGTTCAGGTTCATTACTGGGATGAAAGGGATTAACGGGGTAATGACTCTCTATTGTGAACCGAGAATAGAGTCTAAGACTAATGGTTTTGGCCAGCTTGAGAAAAAATAGCCTGCTTGGCAAAGGGAGGCACTTAAGCCTGGTTTTCAAAAATGCTGAATGTGTGCCAGCCCTTAGCATTGCGACTGGCATTTGTCATGGAGGTGTCTGACCTGGGAGCTGTTTGTCGTCTACGGCAGCGAGGTACCAAAATGCTACCTGTGCAGCAAGCAGCAGGGAGCAGTGGGACAAGGGCAGCAACTGATGGGGCAGATTTTACTGTTGGCCACTTTGCCAGGTTATTTGGTAGGACTTGCCAAGGTTGAGATGAAGCCCAGGTTGGTGGGACATGGGTTGAGTTTCCCATGCTGGCTAGATCAAACGTGTGTCCTGCAGTCACCCTTCCTGAGTCCTCTGCAGACTTACTCTTATGGTGGTGTAGAAGACTGGGTCTAGTCTTGGGCATTGAAGAGTGGATCAGGTTTCGTACAGAATTAATGCCAGTATGAAATGAGTACCAAAATCTAGGGGTTGCATGGAAGATTTGGTGAGGTCTAATAAGCGTTCGTTCTCTTTGCCATGTAGTTTTGCACGGTTACAGGCCAAGTTGCTCTGTCCTCGCAGCTCGGTGGTTTCACACCCTGAAGCTCTCGTGTTGTTGAATGCAGTGGTGAAAACGAGTCCCTTAACCTGAGCGGCACCAACAAGAACGTGGCTAGTGGCAGGTGGGCCCAGTCCGTGAGCAACCGGCCGCAGCCCCGCGACTGCGCGCTCTCCGCCTGGTCCTCGTGGAGCAAGTGCGATCCCTGTCAAAAGAAAAGGGTGAGTGTTTGTGGTCTAGGCATGACGTTTGAGAAGCTGGGAGGCAGGACCTCCTCCAAGCCTTGTCTTTTTTGTCCATGGGGAAAGCCCTGTAGCGGTGAGACTGCAGGCTTTTGCTTTCAGGTGCCTTTTAGCTCTTCGGCTCTTCACCCCTAGTAACTCCAGTGGTTTCCAGGCTGCCTCGCTGTCCTGAGAAGGTGTAAGCCCAGACTTGGTGAAAACACAGGCGGGAAGCCCAGGCTTTGCAGGGACTTTCTCTCCAACACAGTCCTCTTCTTCCAGCATCGGTGCGAGGCACCATCCCCACTAATGGTTCCCCGTGGGACCTGGAGACACTCAGTGCTTCTCGGGGTTAAGCTGCTTTTTCTTGTCTGCCAACAAGCATTTTCTACCCGAGAAGACCCATCAAACAAAAGTAATGATCCCAACAGTGCGAAGAGCAAAATCCCCATTGCTAGAGGGAACTCTGCTAACGAGCTGGAGAAGCCATTCCCAGGCTTAAGTGGGAATAACCAGTGATGGGAGTTGGGAAGCGTGAAGCTTCGTATCAAGGAGTTAATCTTAAAAGCTGGGAAAAAAAGGAGGGCTAACATATTGGACCGAGTAATTGACTGCTTCACAGCAGTGTTGTGGGCGGAAAAAAATCCCTAATGATACAGAGGGCCAAGTAAATACACTGACAGAAAATAACAAGGGATGTCGTTACCAGTGCTAATTGAAAGAGGAGAGATGTAACTGAATCGTTCCTTACTCTTGCAAATGCCCGCACTACCCTGTCAGGCTCATTTAAACAAACTGTCAAAGAAAAGCAAATTTTCCTTCATCCCTTCCAATCCCCAATCCTTCCTTAGTAAAATTAAAACTGTCGCAGATCAGAAACCTTTGAAAGGAGGCACGTTACCAGCATCACACTTCCTTGCCGACACTTTTTTTTTAATATGATGGTACTCTTAGATCAGATCTCACCGACACAAAGTTTGTTTTTTAACTAGGCAAGCGTAAAATTCACAATTTCTGTACACTTGAGTCAATATTTTTTTATTTCATCGCAGTACAGATTTGCCCGCCTGGAACAACCTTCTCAGTTCAATGGAGATCCATGCGATTACTCTGACAAAGAAACTGAAGACTGTGTTACAAATAATCCTTGCAGGAGTAAAGTTAGATGTGAAGGTTTTGTGTGTGCAGTTACAGGTAAGGACTTACGGACTGAGAGGTGGTGATGCTTGGGTGGCATCTCTGACACCACCACGCTGAACTTTCTGCTTCTACAAGGGTTTGTTGGGCCAAAGAGGTGTCAGGAGTTGACCCGGGTCCATCCATGCTTGTGTTGTGTTTGCATCAGTGATTTTGAATGAGTCTATTAGCCAACGTCTGTCAGTCTAAAGCATGTCTTTAGAATCTCCAAAGAGGAAATTAAAACCCAGTTATATCAGTAAAATCTGCAGGACAAGTGGATCTGACAGCAACAGGAGAACATGCACTGGGCATCCTTGACACATGCCCAAGAGCACAGCAGACTATGATGGTGGTCCTCATGGCATTTCCCTCCATCCCTATCAACGACTAATTAGTCAGGGACACTGTAAGCAGTGTGGGAAAGGAAGGCAGCAGTTAGCTGTATCCAAAATTTGATCAGCCTCTGCTTTGCACTCTGGCAGCGGAGAGCAAAGTGTGGAGGGAGCAGAGGGGAGCTCAGCACAGGAGATGGGGCAAAGGAGACCCACTCTGATCTCTGTCCCCCAGGCTGGTGTTTTGGTGAGACTGAAAAACAACTCAGTAATTACGGACGAGGGAAGGGGAAAAAAAATAATTCCATATACAAGGTCTGCTGAACAGTCTGCAGCATTAGTTCTCAAAACTAAAAAATTTTAGCAACAAAAAATTTCTATTCTTTTTTATACTTTTAATTAGGGTGGGGTTTTTTCTAGGTTGAACAAGGAATTTTAAGATTATGAAAGTTTTGAGCAAAACTGAGCAGATGAAGTGTGGTGATCCATGCAGATAGAGAAGAAATATTTTTCAGCTGGATTTGAACCATACGTTACAGGAGTCTTTCATTTTGTTTCTAGACTCTGAGTCAGGGAGCGTGATAATAGATTGTTTTATGAGTAATTTACACCTTGCATCCTAGGGAGATGCATTACACGGAGGCTGCTTTGTAATGGGGATGATGACTGTGGGGACCAGTCAGATGAAAAAAACTGCAAAAAAGTGTTTAAAAAATGCGACCGGAAGATGGAGCAATACTGGGGAATAGAGAATCTGGCAAAAGGGTAAGTCAGTGACCTTCATGAGACGTTTTCTTACTTAAGGATAAGAATGACCTTATGTGGCTTCAGACATAAACACTGAAGGGAGAAAAGCTGTAGCAATTGCTACATCCAGGAGCTAGTTAGGATCCAAAAGCCCAGTGGGAAAATCCTTGTTGACTCGATGAGTCTTTCGGAGAGAGATGAGGTGAGTCAAAGTCCCAGATGTACCCAGGAGTACTTGTGCACCCTGTGGAGATCAGCAGCTCAGCTTGCACGTATGTCCTGCGTGAGAACCAGTGCGTGCTCTTTGTGTTGCCAAAACTTGGTGGGTGAAGGGCAAAGTGTCAACACCAAATGTTTCTCTAATGTCTACAGGTACTTGCACTTAAATTAATCAGTGGGAGAGTTTTGATAATCCAATTATTTTGCACAGATGTAAGTAAAGTTAGACTTTGGCCTAATTCAGTTCGGAATGTCCTAGCCGTTAGGAACTGAGAGACTACTTCAAACCGTGCTTCTGAAATAGAAGCAAAGGAAGGTTTGTTAAAATCTGAGGATAATGTTATATCATTCTTTGTAGAGTGACTTAAATCAGCATCTTGGATTGCCTAAAATCTGAACCTGACTATGGATTTGTATTTTTGCACAGTGTATTGTTTTTGAGGGGGTCAAAATTTCTTGGATTTCTTTCACAACAGTGAGAGAAGGTGGAATTTGTGTCCTTTGTGAGAGTGTAATAGGATTAATCTGCATGCTAGCAAGCTCCAACTTTGTGGAGATTAAAATCCATGTCTGAATTGATCCAGCTTTTACATGCTAAGACTGTGGCAACTTTGTGTAAGATCGGACTGTGTGAAAAGAGTTTTTTCTCATTCTGCAGGAAAAAAATGCTTTTTACATAAAAAAAAGGAAAAGAAAAAATTACATTGCAAGGAAAAAATTATAATTTCCTCCTTATTCTCTGGAGATATGGCTGCTGCACGTCATTGCTAATGCTTTGTACTTCTGAGTTTAATCAAAATTAAAAATAATGTTGGACAATTATAGGAACATACTTCTCATCTCTTTGAAGCTGCAATTGCTCAGTAATTTGTGTTTGGTGGACTTCCCTTCTTTTCGGATTGTTCTAAAATTAGAGTTAATATTTTACAGCTTCAGAGTCATTATCATGCAAGTCCCTCTCCCCAAAATAAGGACAGCCAGATCTAACAGAGACCTGGAATGCTAATGGGGACACAACTTGGTCTATTAGCAATTTATCTTTTTTTTGGTGAAGTTTCGTCTGACGACTCTTGTTACTTTTTGAGTATGAGTTTGTGGAGGTGAGTGCTGTGTCCTCAGCTGTGTACCACGAGGGCGATGTGAGGGTGTCCTGACAGTGAGCAACAGAAGGGTTTTTACTGCAACAGATCCCAGAGCAGACAGGTTAAGATTACTGTCCATCATCCACTAAAATAAAAGGAAAACTTCCCAGTGATTTCAAGGATTAGTTGAACAATTGCTTGAGTACCTTTATTCTTGTTCCCTGACAATTTTTACTCTCATTACTGACCTCTGGTTGATCCTTGACCAGCCTGGCAAAGATTATGACTGATAAACCAGAACAAAGAAATGTGAATTAAAAATTAGTCTGGACTGATGAGATGGGTCGGCAAACCGGTCTTTGAAGATCCTGCTGGATGCTGCTGCACTACTGCGGGCATTTGGGGATGCTCAGGGTGGGCAACCTGGTGGGGCAGGGCTTTGGCTGGTCCAGTTTGTTCTGCTCTTCCCAGAGAGTTCCAGTAAAGGCTACAAAAGTTGCCAGTGCTGGTGGCAGTAATGCTCTGGTGTCATTCATACCTGGGTGGTGAAAATTGCCCTTCATATTCATCGAAGTGTCAAAATTTGACTCTGTCTTTTGCTTTCTTGTTAGTCAGTTAGTTTTTTCTGGAGCAGCCGGTTTGGTCGGATAGTGAAAGAGGTAAAACTTTCTTTTGGGGTTTCAAAATAAAGAATTACGAAACAAAGAGCCCTCAGCCAAACAAAACTATCTTTTGCCTTTCTCAGCCAAGGCATTTGATGTTTACCTCTAAATCGATGATAATCTTAATATTTTGCTGTTATGCTTCATGTACAGGTTAAATATCTTCACAAACAACTTGGAAGGATTAGTTCTTGATCACAGGTACTATGCTGGGGGATGTTCTCCCCATTATATCATGGACACAAGATTCAGAAAGCCATACAATGTAGAAAGCTATACACCAGAGGTACGTGTCAGATTTGTCTGCAAATAAACGTACATACATATATTCCAATAAATTTAGTGCGCAATACTGATAAAGCTTCATTACTAAATAATTTTATTAAAAAATTATGAAGTTTGTGAGACCAAATGGGATAAGACTGAATTTAGCCCTACTTCTAGAACATCATCATACCCCATGCACTCTATGAAGTTGGACACATCCCCTTATAATATCTGTGTGCACTGGAATAGATGGCAATGTTCCCTTGGACCTTGTCATTGCAAAAACTGAGCCTAACCTTCCTGGTGCCATCTGTCCAAGAGGGCCCAAAAGCCACCCAACGGGCATGGGGAGGTTAACTTTAGACAGAATTTAGACAGCCTTGAGAGCCAGGCTGGGAAAGCTGTCCTGCAACAGCCTAGGATTTAGCAGCACACTATGTGCTTTGTGTGAAAGCTTATTTTTGTGGTGCATCAAAGCTATATTTCAAATATTATATATTTGACCTTAATGCTTTTGATGACATAGCATGATATTTTTGAGTGTTGCCCACTAGGAAACCTTTTCCTTTTAAAATTCATGCTTTAATTGATGCCTGTGTTTAAGACTTCACCTTCTTTGCATAAGATTGACATATTAAGTAAAAGCCTGGGGTCCTTGCAGTATGGAGGAGATAGTAGCTTTCCTGCTGCTGTAGATGAAGTATTCTTGAAGTGCCAGTCTTAATAATAATAGTGCTTTGCAATTATACAAGGCGTTTCATCTTCAAAGTGCAAGCATTAATTCACAAGTATACTTGCATCTGTATTCCTTCCCCATGCTTCAGGTGTACAATCGCTATGCAGGAAATTAAACGTGTTGTTTTTGCTTTCTGTTTAGACCAAAGGCAAATTTGAATTTACAATGACTGAATATGACTCCTACGCAAATTATGAAAGCAGTGTCCTGAAGGCAAAAGCTTCGCAGTCTAGCTTCAGTTTTGGTATAAAAATACCAGGAGTGTTTGAACTTGGTTACAATTCAAACGACAACAGGTTCAAGAAGTTCATTCAAAGGATGAAAAGATTTTCTTCAACTGTAAGCGCTGCTCCACTTAATTCTCTGCTAACGCCTTGTCTGTATGTGTGTGTATATCGGTTTGATCCTCATCATCAGGTCAGCAGCCATGACTAGGATAAATGAAATCTTTCCTGCTGATTGGATTTTGCAGTTTGCATTGGTCAAGTGTCTACTAAGGCCACAACGCCTTCGTTTGTGTTTACAGCACCCAGGAGCTTTTCCATTCACCTCTCGGCCAGGAACCGGACTGCTTAACCTCCGAAATCAGCCACAATTGAGTGCAGTCTGTCCAGTGTCCTCCTGGGTATCCCCGTTTGGATGTTTGTAGTGAAGTCATTTAAAAAAAATGAAACTAAGAAGCCGGTTCAAATGGCCTCCCCTCCATACAGTGAACCCCGCTAGTAGGAGGTGTATGCGTGACCCTCCGTGCTGCGCCCAGCCGTGGACGCTCTGCACCTTGCCCTGCCAGCCATTAGGAAGTTCTTACCACTGATGCCAAAGCCGGCTGGCAGGTGGGAGCTGAGTGGGTGCAACCAACACAATGACTCCTCCAAGGGAATCTGCACAGGTAGAATTGGGGTTTAGCTAACGAGCCTGGGAGCCCAGAGTTCCCTCTGCCCTACGGGGGAGTTACAGTGACTACTAGAGAAATTGGGGTGTAAGAAGGGCTTTCTGCAGTTCCAGGAATTTCTGCACCTGTACACACAGTCCAGAAACCGATCTGCGGTGTGGACAGCTATTGTCTGTGCGATCCCTGCAGAATATCATCTCACACGTGAAGGGCCATCCCTCTTCTAGGTGGGTTCAGCAAGGCAGGAGCTGTCACTTCGGCGAATGATAATGCAAACAGCGAAGCCAAGCTGTTCAACTGTAGGGCAGCCTTGACAATAACGTAGAATCAAAACTGCTAACAGGCCTTCCATGGGTTTAATTATAGACCTACACATGCCATTTTACTTCGGCTGATGTGATCTGTCTGCCGAGTACATCATTCACCAGATCAGGACACACACAACACACAATGCGGATGGCACAATCTTTTCCAGTCTCGTCTGTGGAGATTTGGTCGCAGCTGTGATCTAATGCACACTTTAAGCTGGCTGGAGATGCTTTAATCTATAACTCCCAGGACTGCTTTACGAGATTCAGTCTGAGGTAGTGTGCACCATCATTTGATTTCTTTTTTTCATCTGTTATTGCTGTAAACAAACCTAGCTCTTGTCAATGGTTGAATAGTATGGCTGAGCTATGTCTCTCCCCTCGGTATAACGTGCACTCAGGAATGGCAGAGTGTTCCTTGTTGCTATTAAACTTGCATTTGCTTCCTGCAAAGAGGCATTTCCCATGACAAGATCAGAGGTATATGAGAAGCATTTGCAATAGATATCCTTAAAGGAAACCAGTAATAGGTCTTGATTTTATTATTTAAGCTACAGAGTTCTATACTGAACCCCCGCTATGTGCTTGTCCTGCTGGCCTAAACAACTGGAAGCTAAATCCTTTGAACATGATGAAAGACCTCTTCTGTTCCCGACTTTTATGCCAGAAAGGGGAGATATAATATTTATCCATGTACACATTTTCTTCTTTCCTTTGAGTTTTGTTAATGGCATATTCTGTGGAATATAAATATTAATTTGGATCAGCCAGAGAATTACCATTTCACATATAAATCATCATGATTTCAGGTGTCAGAATTTTTCAGGGGAGAGCTTGTGAGAGACAAAGGCTGGTCAACACTGTTAGGGGTAGAGCAGTCTCGTGGGACGCTGCTTGTGTCCTTGCATCCTGGGTCTGTCAGAGCAGAGCCCGGAGCCTCCCTTTCCCTGTGTCCCAGTTGTGGCCTGAGCCATCACCTAACCTGTAATGGTCAGAATCCTGATTTTCAGAAACTTTACTACTAAAAGTTTTGGTTTTGCTAAATTAAAAGATTTCCACTTGCAGACCATTAAATTGATAAAGCTTGACCAGCGTTAATTGTTTAATAGCAAATAACTACCCGTTGTCACAAGAATGACATCCCCCACTTCTTCTGGGTTCTCTTGTGTTTCTGCATTTCGTGTAGTCCAGCAAATTCATTCATGCCCGTTCTGAGCTGGCTGTTGCCGTTTATAAGCTGAAGCCCCGAGCCCTGATGCTGCATTACGAGTTCCTGCAGAGACTCCATCAGCTCCCGTCAGAGTACAGCTACGGGGAGTACAGGGAGCTCTACAGAGACTATGGGACCCATTACATCACGGAGGCCACCGTCGGCGGCATCTACGAATATACTTTAGTCGTGAACAGCAATGAGCTCCGAAAGGCAGGTATGTGCACTTGATGGTTGTGAAGAAACTTTGGGGCCAGCTTTTCAGTGGGAAAACCCCTCTGCAGGCACCCAATGATGGTTCAGGTCTGAGGTCAGAAAAGAGAGATGGTGGAAGGAGTCAACGCCATCTCAAAGAAAGCCTGCAGAAAATACGGGAGTAGAAGTGCTTTATGGCAGTGAATAAAGAGCCCGGTTTTCAAAGCATGCTCAGCGTCATGGGCTTCATCTAGCTCTCAAGCCGTGGGTGCTGCCAGTTCACAGGAAAGGGCCCTGTAGCAAGTATTTTAGACGACACGTTTTGGAGGCTGACAAGATGTTGAGATGAATGAGAATCGTGTAGCTTAACGCTTTTGTTAGCTTTGAAAACCTTCACCTAAGTTCTTTTTCCATTGCCTTTCAAATGACAGTTTTGAAACACCTTTAGCCTCGAGAGCTTTTCCAGCATGTAGGAAACAGTAAATAATTTGCTGGGTGACTTTTGTGCCTGACATTGCTCTTGCTCTTTGACTCTGGCTTCCTTTTTTGCGAGAAATGATGATTGTTGTGTAGGATAGAGCGAGCCGTGTGACATTAATCAATAGCTGCACTCTCTTATTTATTCATTGGCATGGGAGTGAGTAACTGCCTTCGCTGTCTATTTGCAAAAGCATTTAGTGGTCTGCTGTGTGTGACGCTCGGTCTGTTTGCTCTTCTGCTGTCTAGGAGGTTGCTTCTCCTGTAGTCAGATACAGCCCGGAGGAATAGAATTTAGATTCAGATTTCAGATATTCAAAACGTTAGCACTGCCCAATTTCTCAGCTGGTGGTGCGGGCCCATCACAAGCCACATTTGTTTGAACTAATGTGTATTATTGTTAACATCAAAATGCTACTTGTTAGCATCTGCTGACCTAGATCAGGATCCTGCAGTAGTACCAACATTTTCACACTATTCCCAGTGCTGAGCTGGGCTGTAACTTCTCATCAGGGTTTGGTAGGTCCAGTCTGCGAATTCAGTTTTTTCTCTTCAAATCCATCATTATGTTTGTACTGTCTGTGCTGGAAATCGCATCTTCTTTTGCAGATCTAGTATCACACGCCGTGTCACATTGTTGGTACTTGCACTGCTCTCACATATAATCCAATAGCCAGATGTGTCTGTGGTTCATGGTTTGATACTTGCTGTGGGTGTCCTGGTTTCGGCTGGGATAG